CCCACCACAATGCCCGGCTATTTTTTGGTTGCAGCCGTCATTGTTGTTTGGCGGGTCCGGGCTGGGGATTCGAACCCATCACCTTAGGTGTACGTGGCTGGCGCCTTAGCCGGTTGAGCTATAGGCGCTGAGCCACAAAGTGAGTTTTAAAAAATTTTTTTAAATGACCATATAAGAATGATAAGCAGACTTCCCCTCCCTCCTCCCCCACCCCGGGAAGTCACATAGGACATTGATGGATCTTCTCATTTGGAATGACCTTTGATGCTCACAGCCTATCTTCCTCAATGGATGCTCACAGCCTATCTTCCTCTCTTATCTTTGAGAGTGGAACTGAGTTTTTAGATTAGCTAAAAGATTTTTAGAGCTAAGTGGCAAACTGAATAAGTTGATGAGGATGGATATTATTATTTTGGTTTAAAAACTGTATGTATCTAGTCACTACTTTTTGTTCAAAAATGGGGAAAAATAAGAATATTTACATTTGTATGTAGAAAGACACTTTGAAAGGATGCAGAAGAACATGATTATCTGTAGTGAGGAGGGAGAAACTGAGTAGAAGAGATGGAGATGGTTGAGATTGGGGTATTTTTACTAAATATATCTCCATATTTATTTTCTGTGTTGAAATCAAATGTGCCTATTACCTAATGAAAAAATTGAAATCTACTTTAAGAAGTTTTGTACGGCATTTAAATTGTTATATTGTTAGGGTTTTAGGGCCAGGAACCTTGGCCTCTACCTCTAAATTTGAAACCAACGGGGAAATAGAGATTAGGAATTAGCTTCATAATTGATAAAGTTGGTTGGGTAATGTTATCTCTCAGTTGATTATTCTCTTTTATTTTATATATATGGTCAATATTTCTGAGTACTTTTTCTTTGCCAGAAATTCTATGTTGAAATTAAAATTTCCATTTCTGTTTTCCTTTTGAGTTAGAACGTCTTATCTTTTGCCTTCTTCTTCCTTTCTTAATTGACTCATAATTGTATATATTTATGGGGTACATAGTCATGTTTCAGTACATACAATGTATAGTGATCAGATCAGGATAATTAGCATAGCCATCATCTCAAACATTTATCATTTCTTTATTTTGGGAAAATTCAATATCCTCTCTTCTAGCTATTTGAAAATATGTAATAAGTTGTTAATTATAGACATGCTATAAAACATTAGAACTTATTCCTCTATAAAAACATTCATCTGTAAAACATTAGAACTTATTCCTCCTATCTAGCTTTAATTTTGTGTCCTTTAATAAATCTCTTCCTATCCCTCCATTTTCTCTACCCTTCCTAGCCTTTAGTAACCTTTGCTCTATTTATCCTTCTGTTTAAGTTTAGATGTACCTTTCTAAACAGCATTATTTCATTTTAAAATTTCATCTGTAAACCTTTTTCTTTCCTTTAAAGATTTATATTTTAAAAAATCTTTGCCTCTCAGCAGATATATTTAGAGCAATTACATTTAGTGTTATATTTGTGTCTTTCTCCCCTATTTTTATGCTTCTCTTTGCCTTTTAATGTACATCTTGTTGACTTTTATCTTTTTTTTGTAACTTAAAAATTAAACAACCTTTTTTGATGTCTCTGGATTATTTTTCAAAGTCACAAAAATTTTATATAATTTATCTTTTATTAATCAAAAATGTTTTGAGGTTCCTTAGCATGCTGTGGGGCTGAGGCAAAAGGCTTGAGCCTATATAGGTATTCAAGACCAACCTGGGCAACTTGGCAAGACCCTGTCTCTACAAAAAATTTAAAAAATGAGCCAAGCTTGGTGTGGTGTGTTTCTGTAGTCCTAGCTACTTGGTAGGCTGAGGCAGAAGGATCCCTTGAACCTAGGAGTTTGAGGTTGCTGTGAATAATGATCTGCAGTGAGCGATTCTAGACTAGGTGACAGAGTGAGATCTTGTCTGAAGAAAAAACTGTATTGAGCAGTGGCAGGCTCATTGAAATACTTGTGCCCATCGATCCATGAATGGATCAATAACCTGTGGTGTATGTACACCATGGAATACTATGCAGCCCTAAAGGAAGATGGAGACTTTACCTCCTTCATGTTTACATGGATGGAACTGGAAAATGTTCTTCTTAGCAAAATATCACAAGAATGGAAGAAAAAGTATCCAGTGTATACAGCCCTATTATGAAACTAATTTATAGTTCTCAAATGAAAGCTACAACTTAATTCTAGCCTAAGAATATGGGGAGGGGGTGGAGGAGGGGAGGGGAGAAGGGCAGATGGGTGGTGGGAGGGTGACTGGAAAGATCAC